TGGTTGATATTGAATCCGAAGAACCTATTTCTTCGGGTTGAGTGTCATCTTGTTATGCTCTAATTAATTGTAGTCTTGCTTCAAACTCTTCTTGAGAAGAGGCAGAGGCTAGCTCAGCCATGATCTTGCTTTTCTCGGCCAAGAATTGAGAATCTTTAGTAATTCTTTTCTTGTTTTCTTGATGTAATATTGTTGGAGAATTGCCTTGGGCCCATTCTTTAATTCTTGATTTACTAATTAAAATTCATATCAAACTTTTTCCACCACTTAATTTTAATACATCTTGATAAAATCTTCAGAGGAATATTATCATAAGGTTGCTTGAAGATATAATCTCATGTAACAATCCATGTGATATTTTGGGAAGCTACAAATGTAATCATTTTGTAATTTGGCAGGAATGTTGTGACTTCTTTGAAATAATCATAGTTTTCAGAAACTTCTTGAGGAAATAATTCTCTGATGGGTCCCCATGTGTAAAACCATTGGAGGAACCATTTGGGAAATTTGAGAGAGATTCCTCTGCGAAACCAGAAGAACCAGGAATGTGTCTTGGGTTGCAAATATAGCATGTATGTCCATGCCATGGTGTAATCGTAATAAGTGTATGTTTGGGGATGGAACTGTCTTGAAAATGATTTTGATTGATGGATGGGTTGTCCCCATTCTTCAGGAGTCATAATCTTGAGAATTTTTGTTTTTGAATATATAATATTATTGTCTTTATCTCTAGAATGAAATAATTCTATTGAATCAGAATCAACTAGAATGAATTCGTAAAAGATTCTGGGCTTTAAAAAGTTTTGGTGATGGCTGTCTTTTGGGAAAATGGTATTGATTAACTGATCCCTTGTTAGATCTTTCCACTCGGGTTTTATTGGCATGATGTCAATATAGGTGTCCTTAGTAATGTAGGAATCATCATAAGATCTTGAATTTGATGGTGTGGTTGCTGGAATAGTATTGTGGGTAATGTTTTTAGAAAGGTTTTGGGAAATTTGTTTTGAGGGAGAAGGTATTGAGCTAGGTTCTGGTGCATGACCTAGGGCTGCAATGGGGTCAAATTTGTTGTGAAAAAGTAATGGAGAGTTGGTGGCTGCTTCTAAAAATGTTGTGGATTTTGAAGGTAATTTTGTATTGAAAGATTGAGGTAATTTTCTTGATGAACTCGGCGATGCCGATAATTGTCTTGATGCTTCTGATTGAGCCGATTTAACAGTATTGCTGAGTGGGACCTTGAATGGCGTCCCATAATTGTCTCTAGAGCTTTTGCTCATTTTCCTGTAAAAACTCTCTTGTTAAATAATCTGGTAATGTGTTTGACTCTCCCTTGATATGCTCAATTTCAAAATCGAAGCATGATAATAGAACTTTCCATCTGGCAAAAATATGTTTTGAAACTAAATTTTTAACATCTTTTTGTAAAGCTGATGGAGCTGCTTTACAATCAGTTCTAATTAAAAATCTTTTTGAAAATAAATCATCTTGAAATTTTTGAAGACATAAAACTATTGATAAAATTTTTCTTTGGATAATTTTTATTTTTCTTGAAAGATTTTTAGTAGGGATTTTTGTAATTATTATAGGGCTTTTGATAAGGCTTTTGAGAAACAAATTGTTTTCTCTGGGCCTTTTTCTTAACTGCACCAGGTGTTCTAATAGGTTCTACTCCATATTGTTCACAAAAGTTTCCTATTTCTCTTTTGTTGGTTCCGGCTTCTTTTTTAAGTTTGTTTTGGAGTTTAAAGTCATTACAAACTTGTATTCCGGTGTCAATAATAATACTACGTATTTGGCCTTATGTAAGGGTATTAAAGGGTATTGGTTTACCAAAATGATTTTCTAATCTCATCTTGACCTTTTCAGCAAATAGTTTTGGTAGTTCTGCCACCTAATACGTTTATACATATTACTAAAATAAAATTTCAAATTTGATCGGAGAACAACACAAATCACACTTAAAAAATTATATTTAAGTATTGTCTCAATTTAAATTACTTTTCTAAAATTAACATTCCTTCTTTTTCACTTAATCATTTCTCACATTAATTAATCTTTGAAAGAAAGACATATATGTGACTATTTATCTTTCTCAATAGAGAGTTTTTATCCAATTAATTTTAAGCATTTATTATATTATCTCTAAAAATTATTTATTAAATAATGATATTTTAGAGAAAATATAATTAATACATCTGGTAATAAGAAGAGAGTTTTGTAAATAGAACATTTCTCATTTTTTTATTGTCATGTGATTAAAATTCATTTTATATATATATAAAGAAATTCACATATTTTGTACCTCTATATATTTTATGTAAGAAAAAAAATAGTATTTTTGTGTTGAAAAGTAATACTTCATAGTTATTTATTGTTAAGGATAAAACGAAGAAAAAAAACAATCAAAAGAAATCAATATAAAGTTAGTAAAATTTTGATACTTAAAAAGGATAAATGGTCTAACTTTTTTGATAAAACAAAAAAGGACTAAAAAAAGGATCCAAAATAAAATTTCAAACGGCCGGGTACCAAAAGAAATTTCCTTTATATAATGATATATATATAAAAAATTACTTTAGAAATCATATTTATGAGACTATTAATTATAATATAAAAACTTAAACTAATGATATTTTTTTATTAAGGTCACACACACCAAAGCCAATTATTTTCTAAGTATTTAATAGAAGTTACATATTTAAAACAAATTTAAAATTATTGATTAAACTGAAATAATTGTGAATTCATTCGTGTGTTTTCTTTATATAGAATTGATTCATGCGTTAATAATATACTTTTTAAATCAGATTTGTTAATAATATACAATAATATAATGTATTAAAATTAAATTCATAACAATGAAATACAAAATTTGCTGGAAATCCACTTATAAGGGTGAGTCTTCCCAGAGCCTCATTGTTATAAATCAGAAGTGTTGAATAAATGTGAAGTCATTTCGTGGTTGCTTACGGTTAGTTTCTTTTTCTTCTTCTTCTTCTTCTTGGTTTCTTCTTCTTCTTGATACAAAATTTGCTGGAAATCCACTTATAAGGGTGAGTCTTCCCAGAGCCTCATTGTTATAAATCAGAAGTGTTGAATAAATGTGAAGTCATTTCGTGGTTGCTAACAGTTTGTTTGTTTTTCTTCTTCTTCTTCTTCTTCTTCTTCTTCTTCTTCTTCCTCTTCCTCTCCTTCCTCTTCTTCCTCTTCTTCTTCTTCTTCCTCCTCTTCTTCCTCTTCTTCCTCTTCTTCTTCTTCCTCTTCTTCCTCTACTTCTTCTTCTTCTTCTTCTTCCTCTTCTTCTTTTTCTTCTTCCTCTTCTTCTTCTTCTTCTTCTTCTTCTTCCTCTTCTTCCTCTTTTTCTTCTTCCTCTTTTTCTTCTTTTTCTTCTTCTTCTTCCTCATCTTCTTCTTCCTCTTCTTCCTCTTCCTCTTCTTCCTGTTCTTCCTCTTTTTCTTCTTCCTCTTCTTCCTCTTCTTCTTCTTCTTTTTCTTCTTCTTTTTCTTCTTCCTCTTCCTCCTCATCTAGAAGAAGAAGAAGAAGAAGAAGAAGAAGAAACCAAGAAGAAGAAGAAGAAGAAACCAAGAAGAAGAAGAAGCAGAAACCAAGAAGAAGAAACCAAGAAGAAGCAGAAACCAAGAAGAAGAAACCAAGAAGAAGCAGAAACCAAGAAGAAACCAAGAAGAAGAAGAAGCAGAAACCAAGAAGAAGAAACCAAGAAGAAGAAACCAATAAGAAGAAGAAGAAGAAGAAGAAGAAGAAGAAGAAACCAAGAAGAAGAAGAAGAAGAAACCAAGAAGAAGAAGAAGCAGAAACCAAGAAGAAGAAACCAAGAAGAAGCAGAAACCAAGAAGAAGAAACCAAGAAGAAGAAGAAGAAGAAGAAACCAAGAAGAAGAAGAAGAAGAAACCAAGAAGAAGAAGAAGCAGAAACCAAGAAGAAGAAACCAAGAAGAAGAAGAAGAAGAAGAAACCAAGAAGAAGAAGAAGAAGAAACCAAGAAGAAGAAGAAGCAGAAACCAAGAAGAAGAAACCAAGAAGAAGAAGAAGAAACCAAGAAGAAGAAACCAATAAGAAGAAGAAGAAGAAGAAGAAAAACAAACTAACTGTAAGCAACCACGAAATGACTTCACATTTATTCAACACTTCTGATTTATAACAATGAGGCTCTGGGGAAGACTCACCCTTATAAGTGGATTTCCAGCAAATTTTGTATCAATAAGAAGAAGAAACCAAGATGAAGAAGAAAAAGAAAAAGAAACTAACTGTAAGCAACCACAAAATGACTTCACATTTATTCAACACTTCTGATTTATAACAATGAGGCTCTGGGGAAGACTCTCCCTTATAAGTGGATTTCCAGCAAATTTTGTAGTTCATTGTTATGGATTTAATTTTAATACATTATATTATTGTATATAAATAGTTTTCAGCAAAGTATGAAGTATCATTACCATATATAGAAAATTTTGATGAAAAGAATATTAATACTAAAGTAAGACCAATACAAATGAATTCTCAATATTTAGAATACTGTAAAAAAGAAATTCAAGAATACTGGTAATGATACTTCATACTTCTTTTTATGCCAAAAAGCTGTTGGGTTTAGTTCACAAATTTCTTGTTCAATTTGATTATTAATTTTCGTAATAGTTTCTTGAACATTTTTATTTAATTACTGTTCTTCTATTCTTTTATATTGAATTTCTTTAGATAAAAAATTGATTTGTTTTCTTTTGTTTTCTATAATACTTTTTTCTCTTAATAGGTTTAATTCTTTTGACCTTGGTGGATGTATAAATTCAAAACATATTATATTGTCTACTACTTGAGTTTCTAATCCTTTGGTAGTAACTTTCTAGTTGATAAATAATTTCAGTATTGCTTTCTTCATC